GCTATTACAAGATCTTACCACAAAAGCGTTTATCCAAAATGACAGATTAGTGCCTAAAGGAGATTTTTATAAAAAGAAATGAGAATTATCTCCACATAGAAGTAAACACGCTGAAAAGCAACAGTACTACTACAAATTCAATAAGAAAGATTCTTCCCTAGTAATGTAAACATTTTTCTTTTTTTTTTTTAAAAAAAAAAGGTTGAAATGTGAAATGAGAACAAATTTTTAATTGATGGACTTATTAATTACAGGTTGTTTAGACACAAAAGATGAATACAAAATATGAGTGGGTATTAAATTAGCATTACACGTACGCTACTTACACAGTTTTAGCAGCAGTTACAGATTTCTGTCATTTTGAACCAGTTATTTGCTCCACAAAGTTTACAGATTTTTGGACGTGTCTGCAGAGCAAAGATAGCTTTTGGACAAGTGATGCAGGCCACACAGGTAATATGAACATCACACAGCAAACAGTTGCATTGGAAAGGAAATTGAATTTCCAGCAATCTCGAAACTTGTCAGTAAGGCAAGTAAAAGTGTTTATTAAGGGTCCATGACACTAGGTCTGAACCAGAATCCCCCTCTAACTCTTGGCCATGTTGCTCTGTTCCACATGAGTGCTGGCAGAGCTGCTCCCAGATGAGTTATCAGCCCTCTTTTCCCATGAAAGACCTCATGTAATAGTTGATTAACGCAAGCGAGCAAACCAAAAGGAATACAAATCATGACTGAACAGGCAGCCGCTGCACCTGGTACTCAAAAGGAAAAGGAGCTAGTACCAGGTATCCAGGTGCACAAGTAATGGAGCAGTATGCACAGTGATAAGCTACCTTGTGCTAGAAAGGCCAAAACTTACTGGAGCAAGGGAGAATGGAGATCTAGACCCTGCATGACTTAAAACGCAAGGCAGCATTAGCTTACCCTCTGAAAGAGGGTAACAGATTCTTGCCAACAACTATGCTGGCATGCAGCCGCTTAGGGATTGCAACTGGGAGGCTCACCTTCACGTGAAGGGGACACACTATCACATGGGACCTGCCCTTTGACCAGTAGCTACAAGTAGAGCAAGAGCCCCCCCAGGGAAGGAAGGGAGCCCTGGTGTCCAGAAGAAGTAGGCTTGACTCAAGGGCAGCATTTTCACGGCTAGTGAATAACTTCGTATTAAATACAGAGGTGGCCACCATAGAAAAACCTTTTCCAGTCACCTGAAAGGTTCTGCGGTAGACAGAAACTTCCACTTCAGCAGAGCACAAAGGCAAAAGCCAAGGGTATAAGATTCCTCCCTGTGAAGTAAAACAGTTTCCATAATAGTCAACAAGGACAGAGAAAATAAGGTCTTCAGGGAAAGAATAATCAAATCAGCAATATCATCATTATGTGGGTCCCTGGGTGGGACACCAGTAGGGTGTGAAAGGAGTGCACTTCCTTCCAAATAAATATCTACGGTGCTACAGAAAAGTAGGAAAAAACCTATCAATTTATAATACAACTTGAAATTGCATGAAAAAACTATGAAGAAAAACCCTGGGGTATTCCAGCAGCTTTGTTTGGGCATTTCAGGATAACAGGCATCTTGGGTTTGAGATTCTAGGGAAAACACAACTGCTAAGTATCAAAATCAGTTCACAGGAAATTGACACATTATTCTTCCCAACTGCAGGCAAACACAGGTAAACATCACTGCATCGATTTCTATCCAATTCATAAATAGGAGCCTCTTCATTCAATACTGTGCTAGAAACTGCATTTTCTGAAAACCTCAAAAACTCAAATACCAGAACAAATTTCAGGACATAGCATGGTGTCTGCAGCCACAGCAATCTACCTACTAAAGGAAACCTGAAAAAATAAGAACAAATTCTTGGATTCCAATGTGTTTACAAAATAGACTCAGTTATTGCTGGAACACATTTTTCAAACTACAAAGCAGCTGTGTATAGGAGTACAAAGGACTTCTTACAACACACCCTAAGTCTATGACCTGGGCGCACAATTATGAGGTACAGATTAAAGCCAATGATATTAAGAGTAAACTTTGCCTCTATTAACATTAAAAAAAAAATTCTCAACATTGCAAGCAATGTTTATGTGATTAGACTAATTATTCCTTCAACTACTTCTCAATTTGTATTTGGAAATCACCTGAGTTGAATGATTAAGCCAACAGGAACAAAAAGTAATTGCTGCACTGCATTTCGGTTTTGACTGCAAACTGCTTTATGATAGTATGTGTCTTCATTTATTACTCATGCATTCAGAAGTAATACAATGAGCCAATGACCACTGGCCAGGAGTGCAGAAATCTCCAAGTTATTGAACATATGTATATATAAGATCACTGAATCAAACTAAAGCTTTCAAAGGTTTTGAATTTTTTAGTAAAATTTTGATTCATTGCAAGCAATTATTTAAACAAAACTGAAAAAAGCTCCAATTTAAAATAGTACCTGCTCTTACTTATCATTACAAAATATCAAAGTACAGAAAAAATACACCGAAATAAATGTTCATTTCTACTTGAAAGTATATTACTGTACTTACAAATTGATATACATATCTAGCAATGAAACATACACACAAAATGTCAAGTAAACTTCCAAACTGCATTTACCATAGATTTGAAGTTCAGCTTGTTGCCAGGGAAATTTACACTTTTATCACAGTCAACAACTACTTTCACCTACTCAGCTTGCTTATTTTTTTCTAAGACTTCACCTATTCAAACAGAACTTCACAACTGCTTTACATATGGTTTTAAGTATTTATTATTAAAATAAATTGTAAACAGCTAAACTTAGTCCGAAGTGTGAAAAATTAACCAACATCCTTAGTCAATCAGCTTGTACAGACTGTAGAACATATCAGAATAAACTAGCAATTTGAATCTTATGAATTAATCTATTTTACTTTGTTGCAATAACAACAAAAGAAACATATACACATTGTACTCTTTATAACAGTGGGACTATAGGGCATCTTTGCCTATAACACTTTAAAAAGAAGAATGGCAGCAATTACTTTTAGACAGATTTTGAACTACTACAATTCAAGTGACTTTTGAACTATGGAACTATTTTCCTGTGGAGGAAAGCCAGCTATAATCTTACCTTTTGTATGGACAAAGGTTTAGTAAACTAAACAAAATGAGGAAGTGATCTTTTGGGGATTTTTAAGGCACTCCTCTGGAACAGAAAAACAAATTTGTGATCATTTTATTCTATAAAGGCAGAAGATCATTTTTCTATCACAATCATTCTGCACTTTAACATGACTAACTGTACAATCATGAAATAAATCTTACAGAAGAATTTTCAGGGAGTTCCACGGCTTTAGGGTTTAGATGTATTGACTGTATGTAATGTTTGGGGAATTCTCAAATAGGCATTCATAACTATCATCAAAAGACACTTTCATTTAATTTTTCTTTTCTCACGAGTTTAATATTAGACTGTGCTAGGGGAAAAAAAAGTCTACCAAGCTTCTATAAAACTACCTTTTAGTAGCTTACTGCATCTCAAATTGAATATATTCTGCACATTACTTTCCAAAAACTTCACAGACAGAGGAAGGAATTCTGCAAATGGCTACCAAGACAGCTAAATTTAGGAGTCTAACAATTGTTATAGTCAATGAAGACCTGACCAATGCCCTCAAAGGCATCTAGAGTGTGATTCAGCTCATCATAAATTAGGTCAACTAAATTGCTCTCTAAGCTCCATTGACAGTGCTGATTAGCTCTTCAAAAGACCGCAACAGGAGTTCAGGAGTTAGAGTACATGTTGACACTTAACATAAGGCACCTGAACCCGAGAACAGAAATTCCATCCTCAGTTTCCTAACTGATGTTAAGCAAAGAATTGAACTACAGCTCAATGCATGAAAAATACTGCTTTGAAACAATTTCCAATCCAGTATGAGAAAACAGAAGGGGACTAGGAGATTAAGAAAAGCACTTCCTGCCTGAAAAGGCACGCTAAACAGCTCCAAAAAATGTTAAAATTATGGGAGTTACATAAATTAAATAAATGCTTTTGAAGAATGAAAGTCTACCTTCTTTTAATTTCAGGGATTGATGTAACCTATCTCATTTTCCTGGGAAACCTTAAAAAAAAAAAGTGAAGCCCTAAAAAGGTACAGGATATCAGAAATGCTAAAAAAAAAAAAAAAAGGAAACAAAAAAAAAAAGAAACCTTATTAATGAAGAAAAACACAGGGTTTGTTTTTCAACAAAATAGGTATGCCTCTCTGTGTTACTATCTACGCTACCTTCCATCTCAAGAGAAAGAGCAACAACACACAATACAGCCTCACTTTCCATGTAAGGCTGTTAAAATTCTATACGCTCACCTCAGAATTATTCCAGAAGTGTTTCTTTAAAACCAGACCTCCTACATTTATAACACATAGACTAGATTTCAAATCAATTAGCAAAGCAACAATTTGAGTATGTTTTAACTTTAAAATTTCCCCGTTTCAAGTTGTCAGTGAAAATTATGAGAAAATTCAAGGCTAGCTGTTTTCACTTAGAACTAAATGCCATGGACAATTCCTTTCTCTCCTCCTCCGCATCTCTCTGCCTTTTTGGTACAGCAAAAATATATGTAAAAAAACCCATCTCTTTTAGAAGACCTCCTATTCTCATGATCTTATATTGCAGTTATGCAATCAAATTCGTATACTAAAATAGGTAAGACAAAAATACATTTAATATGATATCCTAAAGCCCTGAAAATACAATTTATAGCTGCAGCATTTGCACACTGTGATTCATTATATAGGTATCTGTAGACCATGTTCTAACCCATAGTTGCTTACATTTGCTTTGCTGAAGTAGAAGATGGATGTTTCACCACTAAAAAAGATTCATGTAGTATTACAAAACATTACCTGCCAGAGTTCAAAGGCTTCATTTTTTTTGAAGAAAGCAAGTCAACATTTTATTAAAAGCAAAGCATACGCCTTCCTCCCGCAATGAGAATGAAGGGTTGTATTACCTTCGTGCACTGTTATTCCACAGTTGTCACACTGGATTATTTCATCAGCATCTTCACTGTTATCTCCAAGACAAACGCAACAAATCAAAATATGGTCCATTTTCTGGGAACTCCAATTTTGAGACTTCTCAAGGATCAATGAGTCCTAATATTGAAAAATGAAGACACATGGATTATGCCAGGCACTTCAATTTTATTTAAAACAAACAAAAGATCTGTTATTTGCTCAATTTCGAGCAACAAACAAAAAAAAGATGGAAAATTATTTTCACAAGAATAAAAGCTTCTTTGTTGTCAAAACATTGAAACACTTAATCCACAAATATAAGAGCTGGGAGAAAGGATGGATACAATCTCATCTCAATATACCTAGAGATCTGTTAAGAGCCAAAGGCCAAAGAACGGTCTTATTTCCTCAGACAGAAACATATATGTCTTTAAACCATTTATGTTCTACAAAAAGGAACAAATACACACACCTAAGACCATTTCAAAGCAAAAAATAAACAAACACCAAGGCCAAAGGTGACCTTCAAATGTCCCATTATTCAGAAAAGTTGCTTCATTTTGTTAAAATTTGCACCTTCCAAAAAATAAGTGTCACATGGATCTGAAAAATCTGAAAAGAAACAGCTAACACAAGCTTGCCAAGTCTTTACTTAGGTAAAGTATAACAAATTACCAACTCAGTTCTATTTTGTTGTAATGCAAATTTATATGTGTCTATGCAAAGCCATATGATTTATTAAAGCTGTAACAACTTATTTTCTTCTGATTATATACAGAAGTAAGGATTTGCAGAACAAGTACAATGCTCTGTTTTGGCAACCTTCAAGGTGAACTGCACCACTTAAAAAGAATGTGACTTTTAATAGGGAATTTCTTGAAGGAAACATAGAGAAGTGTTTCACAAACCAAATAAAGCTGTATGTAAATTTTAGTTTTTTCATAAACACCATCTAGGCTTCTTATTATTTTCATTGTGAGGTACAGCCACTGTCTCTTCTGCAAAGTTTCATGGCTTGCATACATTTTCCTTTATTATCTAAAAGCAAACACTGAGCTTGAACTACCTTCATTGATGACAGGAAGGCATATAGGGAAGTGTGAAATTAGGCACACTAGTAAAAAATAATCATTGCAGGATAAAGAAATAGTAATAGTTTCATAGCAGAGGCTGACCGTTCAAGCCTACATGGCATCCATTCAAAATATTAGAGATCTGTGAATATTCCAAAACTGCTGTGCTATCCTACCAGAAAAAAAAAAAAAATAAGGTGAAAGATGCCCTCTCAAACATCTTTTTGTCATTCCAACCCCCCATTTATGACATAAAACATAGCATCAATACTGTGCCTGTGTAGCCTAAGCAGATAAAAAGTATCATGAATGCGACCTGAAGTAGATGTTCTTCCTCAAGCATCTTAAATTCTCACACTAATCCATGCAATTATTTCATGATAGCCTCTCAATCTGACACAGTAAGACTCCGCACAAAATTTTCAGTGAATCATTAATGAAGTCTCTTTGTACTTTAGGTGTATCTGGGCAGGTATTTGGGGGGTAAGGGCCAGTATCTTTGCTTGATTTTAAAGCAAGATAGAGGGGTAAAATAATTTTCACACCCAAAGCTGGGCTCAAATAGTTTACCTCAAGGAATAGAGGTGGCTTGTTATAATGTTTTTGACCTAGGAAAGGTCAAATACATAGTTCTAGCAGCTAGGAGAGGCTTCTGGATCTCCCATCCATTTTCTCTAAACAATGTAAGTATACATGACCTATTAAAAAAAAAAGCTCATCTAGAGGTAAAAATGAAAGATTATGCAACCATTCACACAGTCATGCTTGCTTACAGGAAGGCCACTAATAGTGAAAAATACAAGATTCTCCCCTACCGAGTTCAGACTTACAGAGCATTTCTTCCAACATCCTCCTTTGAGGACAAAGTTGCAAAGCATTTTGAGGAAACTTGCCCATTTTTTTTCAAAAATACTGTGGCCCATCATTACTCAAAATACACACATTTAGCTTACCATTCACATTACAGACAAGAAAATGGCAGTAGATACTCCCTAACTTTGGCAGATTAATTGTGCAATGGCACAGGCTTCTCAGACGCATCTCGCAGCTCCACAGAAATCAGCTTTTTCTGACAGTATCTTTGACTTAAACTGTTATTTGGCTTCACTAACAGAAGTTTAAAAGAAATCTATGATCTCTACTGTTATAGGAGCCCAAGGTCTGGTAATTAAAAAAAGAAAGAAAAACAAAAAAAACAAAAACAACCAACAAAACCCCAAACTATTACTTTAAGTTATATTAACAGAATTGCACTCTAAAACCAACACTGAAATAACAATACCTGTTTAGGCAGCGAGAACATATGCAAACATGGGTAAAAAAAAAAAGAAACAAGCAACAATGGAAGGACATCAAATTTGGATCTAATGTTAGGATCCCCATCTATTATGGTTTACCTTATGTGAAGACAGCCAACAGGTCAAACAGAGCAGCAGAATGACTTAATTTTCTACGCAGACATGGAGAGGGAGTGATCTGGAACAAATGCTGCTCTCCCCTGCTTAGTCCATGTAAGCACCTGAAAGACCCCATCCCAGAAGCTGACCCTACTTGTCTAAAGCATGGGAACTTTTATGTAGAGATGGTAACTGCTGCCAACTCCTGAACAAGTCATGTTCCCTACCCAAGTGAGGGAAAGGATTTCAGCTGAATCACTATGTAATTCCCAGTTCTGTGGTGTTAATGAAGAAAGTGAGCATTTCAAACTATATGCCTATGTTGTAACTTTAAAGGAATAAAAATAAAATTAGAAAATAAAATAGCCACCTCACTGAGAACAGAAGAATCCCATAAAGTGGTAGCAATTATAAAAACAGAAAAGCACCATTTATCTACTAATGATGCCTGACCCTAGAAAAGAAAGCTAAGTTTGTCTTCTGTGCTTAATATAGTAGAAGAGCACATAGTATTTCATTACAGCACAGGTTAAAATACTGTGTATCCAGTCCTCAAAATATTTTTGTAAAATACAGAAAAATAAAATAAAAATCACACAGAAACAAAAACCAAACAACCCACCCCCAATACCCCTCCTCAACATCCACCCCCAAAAAGTAAAGGAAGGGAAGAATGCATATTAAGGACACTACTACATGTTCAGAGTTAATTACCTGAACATTCTTTCATAAATTAATTATGCATTCAGACATCTGTTTTTCTAAGAACTTAGCTTCTGCAGTGTAATGAGATTTTGCTAGACTTGTCTGCTACACAGGTTGTTTTTGGTTTTTTTACTATTTTAAAATATTGTAGTCGTGGAGAGTATACTGTTGTAACACAGTTGAGTATCAATCTAAAAATTACAGTCTATAATCCAGTCTACAGATACTCACTGTTGCAAGACTTCTTGTTAAAAACCTATTCATAAACAGTACTTTGCTTTACATGCAGTAAAGATAAATTATCAGTTACAAAATTATAATTTGAACTTCAAATTTTCAAAATTTTATTTTATCTTTTGATCAATGTCCTAAATCCAAGGCAAAAACAGACTCTGAGGTCCATGCATATCAAGAAGCTTCGTAAAAAATACATCAGAGACAGCTCTGGATTCCTGAAACAGGCCTAATTTTCCAAGTCAATGGAAATTATGGACATATTCAAGAATATATCCCTAAGAATGTAGACTCACATCTCCATTCTGATACGGGAAACAACTCCGAAAGAAAATTGCCTATCTCCATTAGAAGTTCTGATCATCAGTATTGGTAGAGCACTTTCAGCTCTTGAGCTAAGAGAATACGGGTAACAACACTAGAATTACAGAGCTAAACAATGAAAGAAGATGCCTATACAAAAAGTAGAAAAACCCCAGAATTATGCTTTTTTTTTCCCAATCACAATTATTACTAGTAATTAAAACAGCACAGCTCATTCGCAATCACATATATATTATACATAACAAAGTATCTGAAACAGAGACAACTGATTCTTCCAAATACTCTGTTTAGTTCCCTGTCATTTTACACATTAAAATAAAGATTAAATGGAATAGCAGAACTTTAAATAGTGCCATACCACTATCATTTATCAAATGTTATGTTGACATTGCAATTATTTCCTGAAAATTGAATGTATATTTTACAGCAACTCTTTTTATTCTGTTCAAAATTTTGCTACTGTAGGACATGAAGTCAACCATCCTGACAACCTAATATCTTAATTTTTCCACAGGCACAACCTTTAGGCAACTGTAATTGTGCACAGGGAAAAAAAGTTGCATTATTAAACACTTAACATATAATTTTCACATTCTGCAATTAGAAGATATTTAATATAATAACAATAGTTCGCAAATACTTTTTAGTACTGGAAGCATTTGTGAGCATTATAAGCAAACCAAACATAAATTATCATGATTATCCTATTTGATTTTAAACTCAGCGTATTTCTTTACTTAGAATTCTTCTATCAGTGAACTTAGTATTCAGACTTTGATGTTTGTCACAAAGAAGGGCTACGATAAAGAACAACCTATCATTTAACTATTTTATGAATATGTCACAGATGCTTTTAACTTTCAGAACATTACAGATATGCAACATTTACGCTAAAACAGAACTAAAAGTCTCGCTAATACATGTTGATTTGCATACTGGACCTCCTATTTGCTTTAGAACTAGTCCAACCCCCCCTAAAGCCAAGAGAAGTCTCTCTATTGACTTTAGTGGCGTTAGATTGGCCAAATGGTCCAAGCAAGGTTATTTAATATGCAGTGCCTATTTAGCACAATTCTGCTGCTTCGCTTATTCCTGTAAACACAATTCCAGCCAATCAGTTTAACTTTTCAAATTAACAGAATAGCTACTGGGGAGTAGTTTCCATTTGTCAACAGATATATTATAGAAAGTTGGTTGCACTACCTCATTACTCTTGCTTTGTGAAAGAGCCAGGCTATCATTTGTCAATTCCTCATCATCTGCATTATTCCTGTTAAGAACTTTACTCTTCTTCTTCTTGGATCCTCCATCACTAGCCGTGCTGCTATTATCTTCTTCATTACCTTCCTCATCATTATCATCCTCATCACTTCCGCTCCCATCATCTTCATCATCCTCATTATCTCCATCACTCCCCTCTTTTCGCAGTGCATTTTTTCCTTTTTTTTTCTCAGCAGTAGGCCGCCAGTCGTTGTCATCTTCACTATCATAGTCATCCATGTCATTTAGTTCTTCCATCGATACAAAATCCAGCAAAGGTCGGTTCCTGCGCAAATTCCATTTTTTTGGTTCATTTGTTTGCTCATCAGCCACAGCATCAGGTTCGGTTGCTTTCTCTTTCTCTTTCTTCTTTTTCGGCTTTTCTTCTTCATCTTCTTGCTCTTTCTTTTCAGTTTTAATTACCTCTTTGTCTGCTGTTGGCACCTCTTCTTCAGTGGAGCTTTTTGGCTGTTGCTCTTCTACTTTCTCTTCTGCCGGTTCCTCCTCCAAGATATTTTCTTCTGATTCAGTACAGGAACCTTCACCACTGTCCTTTGATGCATCTTCACTCCCATGACCACTTCCTTCAGAATCTGTTGAGCATATGAAAATTTAAAAAAAGTTCCGACACAAATGTACCCCCAAAAATAAAATCTGTTGAAGCAAGTTGTTAAACAAAAGAATGATGCATGTTCCTCCCTCATAAGGTATTCCACCTATCTTTTCAGCTGGTGTCCAAATACTGCTATTTCGAGTGGTATGTTGAGAATCTGTTAAAAATGAGTGCATTTTAAGATGGCAAAAAAAAGATGGCAGAATTTATTAAATGAACATTAAATGTTCCTTTGAACTGCAGCTCATATTAACAATAAGCAGTAGCACAGAATAATTTCCATGTGAAGTCACATCTTAAAGAAAGAGCATTCCAGTTTTTAATTTCTGGAGGCGTTTTCTAAATCTTCAAATTAAAATAGTTACTCAATAGAAGAGATTTAAAATTACAAAATGAAGAGTTTACATAACAAGTACTAACAATAGTATGGATAATCCCTCACCTTCATTTTTAGTACAGGTTTGTTTTTCCAAGTTTGGGGGCTCTTTTAATTTCCAATGTTATTTCACTTACTAATCTCAAATAAGCTATGCCTCATTCAGTGTTGCAGCTGCACAATACATAAATTCTAACTTTATACCACTCATATGGTATTATTCTGTGTGTAGTCACTATTTCCATTAATTAACACAGGCCAGTCTGTGCAACAGAAAGGAACAGAAGAGGATTTGTATGAAAAAAAAAAAAAAATCACAAAAATAAGGCATCTGTAAAGTACATGTAAAAATTATTGAAAAAGATGACAAGTGAACTTCTTAAATTTTATAAACATCCTTGTTGATCAACCACCTTGACTATCTCTCATCTTATATTCACCTACTACTTTTCATTTAAAGTATTAGTTTTAATGAAGAAAAACTCAGAAAATATTATTTTAAATTAACAAGAAAATATAAAGTTGCTTGATCCAATGCAGGGATCAATTAGGTAATGGCTACAGTTTTCAGTTTGTTCAGAGTCATCACCAAGTTTTTGATGCACTGTCTCATAGATGCAAAGAAGAAACATGTTGATGCTTGCAAAATTAAAAAAAATCCTTAATCACTTTAGTTACCACAAAACCCCCACCACCACTCAGGATCACCTTGCACAGAGAATTTCTGTGCACTTCCGTCTCTGTATAAAGCCAAATAAACAAACAGCGGGGCAGTGTGCTACACATTTCACATGGCATTTATTTCTACCCCACAGAACACTGCCTATGACTAGCCAGTAACTCAGTTGTTACTTTGATATAATGGTCAGTTTTGTCTTTTTCTGCATAAGTATGTGGAGTTCATTTGATGAGGAAATTATATAACTATCATAAAAAAAAAAAATCCATCAGCGCTACTACTACTGATTGGGATATTAATGGTATCAGTCCCCTTACAAGCTAATAGAAAGTAAAAGTTTCCTGCAAATGTTCTAACCTTTAGAGAGCCAGGAAAAAAAGAGAATGCAGTAACACAAGTTATTGTACAATCTTTTGAGAAAAGAGTCATTCAGTCATCTCCCTACACCTACCAGCCTTAATGGTAGTAATGGCAGTACAATATAATTAACTGAAATTTTGATATAGTAGAACACTCTTCAGGCGTGCCTAAGAAATAAAAAAAAGTATTAATATGCAATCTAAAAAATTATTTTTAAATTACAATAGCTTTGTTTGGATACATATTCATGGGCATGTTAGAGAGGGTCCAGAGAAGGGCCACGAAAGTGGCCAGAGGGCTGAAACACTTCTATGAAGAAAGGCTGAGACAGTTGGGGTTGTTCAGCCTGGAGAAGAGGAGGCTCTGCGGAGACCTTATTGCCGCCTTTTAATATATAAAGGGGGCTTATAAGAAAGAGAGACTTTTTACCAAGGCCTGTAGTGACAGGAAAAGGGGGACCGATATTAAACTGAAAGAGAGTAGGGTTTAGATTGGATATAAGGAAGAAACTTTTTATGATGAGGGTGGTGAGACCCTGGAACACGTTGCCCAGACAAGTTGTGGATGCCTCATCACTGTAAGTGTTCAAGGTCAGGTTGGATGGGGCTTTGAGCAACCTGATCTAGTGAAAGATGTTCCTGCCCACGGCAGGAGGTTGGCCTAGATGATCTTTAAAGGTCCCTTTCAACCCAGACCCTTCTATGATAATTGTCAGCTCTCACAAACACTTTACAAGTAACTCCTAAAGCTAGACTTTCATACTAGACATTTATATTATAGATTAAATGCCATATGTATGTTTAAAAGCAAAATGTATTTTTGTATCTCATTTCACAGATTCTGACTGCCAACATGCACTACTTGTCCCACTGTAAATAAGGTAGTATAGGGGTTTGCTATGTTAAAATTAATTTAAATGGATTTTTAAGTTACCTTATATTATTTTCTTTTGTTTTACTTCCCTACCATAACTCCATGACAGTAATTTGTTTGGATGCTTTAATTGTGCTGTTCCATTTCTAAACATGCTTAGACTTCTTGTGAATTTAAGCTTCCACTTCTTTTTTTGGGGCAATCTTAGTCTAGGTATAGTTTGATCTTTAACAGCACTCTAAATTACTATCAGTGATTCTTGTACATCAATACTACAACACTGAGAATACTCTCTAGCTGCTTTATGCCATGCAAACAATATAAAGCAGAGAACAAATAAACGTTAGTTACATTCACTTCTCTCCTTCAAATTCTCTTTGCCTTCTGCCTGCACATTATGCTTTGTACTCTCCTTTCTGCATGCATGTACACACCAGAGATACCTATAGTAAGCGATATCCCTCTTCTGTCTGAATGCATCCACCGTGATAGGTACTTTTCTAGAAAGAGTTATTCTGTGATAACAGCTATTTTTGCAGGTATTCTTCTGTCAGATGCACTTTCAGTTAGGAAGAGGCTGTAGTATACCATTTTCTCCTTGAAAGAAATTCTTAAAGAATGGCTCTTTCAAATTGGCAACCATATCATGTCATTCCCATGGGAGAGAAGTCAAGCTACTCTCAGTGAAAGATGGGGCCAGATACGCTGCCAAATAGTGAAGAATACAGAGTTCCACTGAGAACAAATATGAGAACAGTTGTGAGAAAGACATCATTCATTTCTGTACACCTTGTATCTTCAGCTCTACTGAGCACAACAGCAGGTGGCAGTCAAATCTAAAGAGGGTAGTTCAGAAAGGAATTCTCCAGAACAGAACATTATGCTCCAGAGATGATATAAGAAAAAGGGTAATAAATATAAACAAAAGTGACTACTAATCTCCATGTCAGCTGTGGAGTCTTGTATAATACTTACTATGCACAAGACTTCAGGGGAAAGCTACTGAAATCACTACAGCAGTTAAAAAAATCCTCCCAGGGTTTTGCAGGACCATTTTACAAGCGACTTTAAACGTGGTACCCTGTGATTTTTTAATTATTAATTAATTAATTTTTTTACATTCTAAGAAAATCCATGTATACAGAGAGTAAGTGCTACACTACGTAAGTACATGGCCACCTACTCACAGAAGACCGGCTGATTCTTCAATGCAGCATTTAGCTTAACAAGCAGCTCTCCAAAAAGCAGTTTTATTGCTTGTTTTTAAGTGAAGTCTGAAGGCTAAGCTAGTTAAAGGAAATAATGGATTCGATTTTGGGCTTGCCTCTTCCATTAACAAAGCCTAACCAACTCCAAATAGCAGAAGAGAAGCATCTGACATCATTTTGGAAAGTTTTTTTTTTTTTTTTTTGCACTGAGTCCTGTCTGGTTGAGTCTTACTCAGGCACTCAAAGGTACATACAAAGAATACAATCCAGGATCCTGGAACATTGAAAAGGAGTGAAAAACCTGAAAAACTGAGCATGTAATACAGAAAACAACTACCATGTCTGAAGTCATTCCTACTAAATAATATAGTTTAATAATAATCTACAGGCATCATGTGAGAAGTTATCCAGCCCACAGTGTGCTTCACGATACCCTCTTTTCGAGGGCAGTAACAAAAAACAGGCTACAATTGAGGTTAACTGTTTTGGAGGTTAAAGCCACTCGATCAACATCACCCTGTCTAGTGGTCTCTTAGCCTCTTTCTCCCAATCACAAGGCGGACAACAAATCTTTGACAAGATGATGTGAAATTACTTGGGTATCTCTGTTAAAAAACCATGTTACAGACCATGTACAATCCTTCACCCAGGTTGCCTTCATCCCAACAGATGGGGAAAGTGGAAAGCACTGCAAAAAGTGTTTGTCGACAACAGCCTCTGCCTATAAACCTCCCTACAAGAACAGCTCCAGAGTCACAAAAACTCCTTTGCACATGTGCTATACCAAACATGTAAAAGCAGCCATACTTCCTATGCATCTGATCTAGAAATTGTAAATAATTTTAAAGACTCAAAAATACCTTAAGGAAATGCTTAAACTAACTAGAAAGTTCTGATATTAATAACTGGATGTAAAATTAAGGCAGGGAAACCTAGATCACATATGGAAAATATGAACTTTTGAAGTGCCAAAGGCAGAGCTGTTTAACTTGTAAATTTCCTGATCACATTCATCTATCAGACTAAAGCCACAGAGCTCCATTATGCTAAGACTGATATAACTATTCTGAAAGCAAGAACTGAAAAGGCTTAATACTTCACTTTCAACTTAACTTCAAAAAAGAGAATCTAGCATCAGTTAGATATACGCCACTGGCTTTCTACGCTATTTTGCAGAGTATGATGATTAAACATTGGTGGACTACTGGCAATTCAACATTGGTAATGCTGGCAGTTAAAAAAATGGAACTGTCCAAAGTAACGGGATTAAGAACATACAAAACAAAACCAACATAGATTAAGATATTACTGCTCTAAGGAGAGAAATTCCCTTCTCAAATAATGTTTTGAAAAAAAGTATGTAATCTGTATTAACTGCAGATGTAGACTGGGCAGAGTAGGAAATGAAACTGTTCACTGATCCACAATGACACTTGTTTCAGAAGAAAAGTATTTAGTTTAATAGAAAAAAGGACGGAAGAAGA